GGGGATAAAGATGTCTACATACACACATAGCTGAAATGGGCTCTAACTAAAGCAACAGCCTAGTAATGGGCCAAAACCAACCACACTCCCACAAAATATTCACAAAATATCCAACAGACTAAATGTGGACACTAATCAACTGGGAAATACAAAGATGGGAAAGGCAGGCTTCTAGACTACTGAGTCAGAAGCACCATGTATGGAAGCCCACCTGCTATTGTTCTCTGAAGGATGAGAGCTGCATTCGCGCCAACCTAGCACCAGACAAGGCAATTTAGGAGGCCACAGAAAATAGAACTTCCTTAAGAAAAGATGAATAAATAACAACTCTGAAAAAAATGAAGCTACCCAGAGCTACAGAAATACCCTTCATGTCCTTATCTACCTTCCCACACAGTCACCAACAGCATGAGTCTTGGTAATAGCTTACAATAAACTATAGCTTACTGATTTATTAAGTATCAGTAATTGCTATGTACCTTTCTGGAGGACCTATTCTAAAACAGCCAGGAATGTGGGGAAGTCTTCAAACACTATTTATCCTTCATTAACCACCAGAGACAGCATATTGATGAGAAACTAATAAATGTAAAGACTACATCATAATCCTTAAGAACAAACTATCCTGCTATCATTCCTTTAAAATCAGTCTAAAGTCCATAGGGAAGAAACAATATAGAAGTACCAGATATAGGAAATTCCTCAAGAAGCATTCAACAGACATTAATCGTTAGAAAATTCACTCCTGAGAGAAACCCCATAAATGCAATAGATTTAAAAAAAAAAAAGTTCTCACAAAGAACTCTGTCCTCTCAAAGTCATCAGAGAATTTACAGCAATCAGAAACCCTAGTGATGCCATGGCTAGAAGAGCCTTTGTTCAGATGATCCTTACTCATCATGAGAATATGCATGCTGGAGAGAAGGCTATTTTAAGTGTACAAAATATGGGAAAGCTTTCAGATATAACTCAATTGCATTGGATTATTAGAAATCAATCTTGATAAGAAACCAGATGAGAATAATAAATGCAGAAAAGCCTTTAGGGTTTCTTCAGAACAGAGGCATGAGCTCCACACTCACTTGGCTTTGAAGACTTTCAGAAGCCACCAGTTCTATATTGTGAGGTCTTGATCCCTAAAATAACGGTATCACTTCTACAGCAAGCATCCCTGAGAACACGTTCAAGTTCCTGTCTGTTGCCCTCTGTGTAGGGAACCATCCCAGCAGAGATACTTCATAATTGATATTCCTGTGAAGAATCTGGTGTTGCCACACATGGTGACACACGCCTTTAATCTCAGCACTCAGGAGGCAGAGGCAGGTGGATCTCTGTGAGTTTGAGGCCAGCCTGGTCTACATAGTGAGTTCTAGGACAGCCAGGGCTACACAGTGAGACCTTGCCTGGAGAAAAAAAAAATCTGGCATCTATTGCCAGACAATTGCCAGTCTTGCACAAATCCTGAGCTCAAAAAACTACATGTGAGTGATGCACAAGCAGACAGACTCTTCTGTGCAGACGATGGGAACATGCTCTGTCCTCTCTGCTCTAACTCTTAGAAACACAAAGCACACAGACACTCCCACTGAAGGGGATCCTGGGGAACAGAGGGAGAAGCTACTGATGGAGATGAGATCATTATGGAAAAAGATCCCAGAAAATAAGAGGAATCTGAATGAAGTGATCAGAATAACGAATTTGTGGTCACATCCATCAAGAGGAAAAGAGAGTCAGGGTTGAGTATAGAAAGCAGCATCCAGTACTCTGGAAAATACCAACAGCTGGAAGAAATGAAAATGGAAGTCTGGCACATTTTCCAGCCACTCAAGAGAAGTCAGGTCAAATGGTTCAAGCTAGGAGATCGCTAAAAGAAATATACAAGGAAATAGGGAAATGTGCCATAAAATAGAGATCTGTTCCAGGATTTAGAAGACTAGGGTAAGGAGTGGGTCCTTCCAAGGGCACATGCTGCAGCCTGTAAGGCCAGAGCTTGCTGTGAGACCCACCACTGGACTACTAGGCAGGCTCAACCATTTCCCAGAGGAAATGCCCTTCAATTATGAAGTAACCAATCACAATCTTGGGCTGTTGGATGGTGTGAGAAGATTGTTACTTAGACATAACTGTCAGGATGTGCCCTCAAGTACTGGCAGCTCCAGCTGTTTTGCTTTCTGGGGAGCCCAGGGATTCACCTCTGGAAAATATAACTGGGATCTGGATGTGGAGGACTCTTGGGATTGGGTCTAGGGAATCTGTGAGGATTCCTGGATAAGTAAAATTGGCAGAATTCCTGAATCTGAGAAGACATTTCTTCTTGTGTATAGG